GCCTTGGGCAGATTGGAGTCTGACAGTGGCCAAGTCTTCTCGGGACACAGACAACCCCAGAAACCAGAACAGGCTTTAGGGCATATGGCCCAGAGCAGCCTGGTGACAGTCATTCCGATCACCGCTGACGTGGATCCCCCCAGCGCCCCCACGATGCTGGGTGCATCGTGGCCGAGGGGAAGCAGTGGGTGGATAAAGGCTTAACCTACAACCAAATGGACGTCAGAGGCAAAGAACAAAGGGACTTAGGAGGGAAAAGACAGAAAGGGCAAACTAGGACTCCAAGGAAGGGAAATGAAAAAGCAGAGAGAGATAGAGAGAGTGGGAGGGACCAGGTGCGGCCAGCGCAGGGCTGGGGCCACGCTCACCGGACCGCAGGAGAACACGGGAGTGAGGGCGGCTGTGTCCGACGGCGGGCGACTGACGGCTGCCCAGGAAGCGCTCAATCCAAAAGCACTGCGGGCAGGACTGACAGTGACTGCGAACCCGCGGCTGCGGAACTTAAGCCTTGCGGGCGTGGTCAGGGCGTGGTGTGGCCGGGGCGGAGCCAGCGTGGCCCACTCCCCCGGGGTGAGGGGGCGCTTCCATCTGTGTTTTTTTTTTCCCCTTGGGCGTCTACTGTCACCCCTGCTTCCGCAAGGGCAGATAACCGTGGGGATCCCTCGGTCTCCCCTGAGGGTCCGACCTCTGGTCTCCGCCTCTGGCCCCAGGGTTCCAGTCTCATTGTGAGGGCAGCCAGACTGACTGCCCCCCTTTTCTGGCTCGCGACCCCCACGCCCTGCAAGCCACCTGCGAACTGTGCGGAGCGCGGGCTCCAAGGACCGGAACCAACCCGGGCGCGGCGGTGGGGTGAGGCTGGCGTTCCCGCCTTCTGCCTCTCCCTTCTGATCTCTGGGGACCCGGGCACCTAACGGCTAGGGTGGGGCGATGGCACCCGGCCTCTCCTCCTCTTTGGACCCACCACCGCCAGGCTGGTGATCCTCAAGGGAGAGGGCAGGGCAGAGCCTGGCCTGCAGCACTCCCAGCCTGGGAATGACAGGCTCAGCAGGTGGACCGGACCTTGGATAGATAATGGCCACGTAGGGGTGGCAGAAACGAAAACAATACTTGAGCCCTGTGTCCGAGACTAACGTGCATTGTGGGAGGAAGAAACACGTCTCAATTTGTCTTTGGACTGTGTCCCTGCTTTGGTACTCTCTGGCATTTCTTTTGTTTTTATCCGTGTCCGCCCTGAGACTTGCCTATGAAGTTAGATCAGGGCATTGCAACATTTTTTGCTTGCCTAGGAGTTAGGCGCCCTAAGAGCAGGAAGCGGAATCAAGGGTCCGAATATACTGTAATAGAGGCTCAACGGAAAGTGTAGTAGGAAGAGAGGGTTGAGTGAACCCTTGTAGAAAGCAATTACTATGCACCAGGTAGGCGTGGACACCTCATATAACCCTTCCAAGTTGTCACTAACCTTTATTTTCCAGAACAGGAAACTGTAACAGGTTCCCAGATCTTTGTAGGCCCCAGACCTTAGCATAGCTGACTCTATGATGGAAGTATCACTCAGGCTGTAAAGCTCAGTATGTAGACAGCACCACCCACCAAAATGAAAATAAAGACCTAGCCTGTCAAAGTCTACAGTTCTGCGAAAGTCTCTCAGTGTAGTGACCTTGCTTTTTGGCTTCTGTTGATCTGCTTCTGGCTGTTTTGGTTAACTGAAGTATGTCAACCCCAAACGGTTTTTTCTGCTTAAAAACTCACCCACAGAAAGGTTCTGACAGTGCTACACTGGGATCCCGAACGCCCACTGTAGCCGGCTAATAGAGACTTTCTATTGGTTTAAATCTGTTGAGCAGCCTTCTCTGGTGGGTAGCCCACAAAAAAACCAAATCTAGAGAGATTAAACCACCTGCCTAGTGTCACAAAGTGGCATACTCTGGCTTAAACTCTGCCACTTGGGGACCAGGGATATAGTGCCCCCCCAAGTAATTATTGGCGATTTGAGCTGGGAGGAACTGGAGAACTTCTACTGCAGGAACTAGATGCCAGGTGCTTGAATTTGGCCGAAGCAGAAACAAGGACACAGAGGTTAAGGTAGAAAATTATTTGTCATGGTGGCTGTCAGCTTTGGCCCTGGATTCTGACTCTGGCTGTGGTGAAGAGACCTCTAGGTTCTTGGTGAATTTGTGGTAGAGAGGGAGATCTTCTCGAAGGGCAGTCAGTACTCTTAATCACTGAGACATCTCTCCAGGCCCCTCCTTTTTTCCTTTTCTTAAGGATCTTGCTGGGTGGTGGTGGCTCACGCCTTTAATCCCAGCATTTGGGAGGCAGAAGCAGGCAGATCTCTGTGAGTTTGAGGGCAACCTGGTCTACATAGTGAGTTCCAGGATAGCCTCCAAAACAATACAGAGAAACCCTGTCTCAAAAAACCAAAAGAAAGGAAGAAATAAAGACAAACAACCCCCCCAAAAAACAAAAACAAAAACAAAAACAAGATGGGATCTTGCTGTGTAACCCTATCTGGCCTGGTATTGGCCATGTAGTTCAAGTTGGCCATGAACTTGAGGCAAACATCTTGCCCTGACTTCTCCAATGTTGGGATTATAGGCATATGCCTACTGTTTGGCCTAAGTTGGTTTATTTAAAAAATACTAGCTGGACGGTGATGGTGCAGGACTTTGATTCCAGCACTTAGAGGCAGAGGCAGATGGATCTCTGAGTTTCAGGCTAGCATGGTCTACATAGTGAGTTCCAGAACAGCCAGGGCTAGACAAAGAAACACTGTCTAAAAAAATAATAATAACAAAATATGGTAAACAATGATGCTAATCTTAAAATATGTCTTCTAGTTTCTGAAGTTTTACACCTTTGGTCAATAAACAGAACTCCGACTTCTAGGTGTGATTCCTATGTAATGGTATACAGAGGAGTCATATTCAGATGGACTGGATTCACTGGGGAAAGGGGCCATGGAAAAGATCTATGAGCAATTTGTTTTTATTTTTGGTGGTGTGCAAGATGTAGCTTTTTAATTTTTAAAAATTACATTTATTATGTGATGTAGGGGGCACAGGCCGTGATATGTATGTCAAAGTCAAAGCTGGTGGTAAGTGCATTTACCTGCTAAGTCGGCTTGTCAGTTTCAATATGTAACTCCATTTAGGTCTCTAATGCAGGTCATAGGAAGCCTCCACAGTGTGGGAGACTCGGGGGAAAAACTGAGCTGTTCTCACTTGTGAAGCTATATTTTTATTATAACGTGGATATGGACTTCTGTTTCTCAAAACCTCTTCTCTGTAGACCAGGCTGGTCTTGAACTCTGCCTCTGCCTCCCGAGTGCTGGGATTAAAGGCGTGCACCACCACTGCCCGGCTAGTCACTTTTCTATTGCTGTGATGAAACAGTGGGACCAAGGTGACTTGGAGAACGAAGTTTTATTTGGGGTGGACAGTTCCAGAGGGATGAGTCCATCTTGGTGAGGAGGTCAGGCGGCAGCACGGTGGCCGGAGCAGCCATTGAGAACTCACATCTCAAACCTAAAGCAGGAGATAGAAAAACTGGGAATGCATCGGCTTTGGGCTCTCAAAGCCAGTCCCCAGTGACACACTTCTTCCAGCAAGGCCACACCTTCTAACCATCCCCAAACAGTCACCAACAACTGGGAACCAAGTATTCAAATACCTGAGACGTCTGGGGGACATCTTCAAACCACCTTATGCAGTTAAACCTTTGTCTTTTCCATTTACTCCTTTGTTTGTTGGGTTTGTACATATGCACATTCACATGTACATAGGGACACTCGTGTGGAGGTCAGATGACAACTTGTAAGAGTCGGTTCTCTCCTTCCACCTTGTGGGGCCCCTGGATTGAAGCCGCTGAGCCATTTCGTTGCCAGGTGTGCTGTCTTAAGCTTGGGAGTTGGTCCTGTATTTCAGCCTCTCTTTTGTAGATGGGAGGCTGAAGGCTCAACAGGTAGAGCATTGTCTCTGCAGCCAAAGGCAGTGAGAGAGGAGGGCTAGGCGCGTGGAGGTGGGTCAGTCATCACCCTGACAAGCAGGACTTGAGAAAATCTGTCTGAAGAGAAGGCCAGAAAGTAGTGGTTCATATTTCTCTTAAGGTGAGAATTCTTTTTATTGAGTCGTATCGATTTCCTAAAGCTTCTGGGTCCTGCTGCTTTGGACTGGCGGACATGTAGTGCCTCTTCTCCAGATCCACAGCCCTTTGAGGTCACCAGACAGCAGACTCCCATGGCTTCAGTCATCCGTGGTCTTTACCATACTGGCGTGTGTGGCTTCACCACTACAAACTGCATTTTCCTCAGTCTCCCTCTCTGGACAAACCCCCTCCTACAGCATTGCCTTCAAGTTTACATCTGTAGATGGGCATTGTTTTTATGAAGTGCTTCCATGTCCTGCTTTTCATTTGATCCTCCCAGCACCCTGAGACAGACAAGGAGGGACTGTTAGTCTCTGTGCGACCTCCGGTGTCCTGCGTGGGCCCCGCTGAACTCGTTTGTACGGGCTCAATGCTTTCTTTTCCCTTTCTCATTTTCCCCAGAATCCGAATGGAGTCCACTTGATAGACTCATTACCGAAGGGCAGATGTCCCTCAGGTGACTGTGAAGGCTGCAGTCACGGCTTTGTGCTGAAGCTGAAATGTCCCTCCTGGCATTTATCTGATCCCACTGTGCAGTGGGATAATCTTCCCCACGCTTGCAGCCTTTGCTGTTTATTATTCATCGTCTTCAGGGAAGTTGGCAAACCTCCCTTTTGTCCAGAGGAATCTGATTTTCTGTGCTTTCTCTTGCCTAAATGTTAGGCATCCAACCAGAAGGCTTTTTAAAAATTAATATAATTTAATTCCCATCAGGTCAGTGCCAGACTAAGGTGTTTTAGGACAAAACACGGAAGACTAAAACTTTCCTCCTCTTTTAGCTCAGTTTCTTTCTTTCTTTCTTTCTTTTTTTTTTTTTTTTTTTTTTTTTGGTTTTTCAAGGCAGGGTTTCTCTGTATTGTTTTGGAGCCTGTCCTGAAACTTGCTCGGTAGACCAGGCTGGTCTTGAACTCACAGAGATCCGCCTGCCTCTGCCTCCCGAGTGCCGGGATTAAAGGCATGCGCCACCAACGCCTGGCTTAGCTCAGTTTCTTGAGTCAGCAATGAGCACAGAGTTCTGTAATGTGTGGGCCTGGGTCCACCATGTCCACTGGATCTGCTGGGCCTGCTGTGTCCACTGTGTCTCCTGAGCAGAGAGTCGAGGTTTTATTCTGTTCTAGGCAGCCTCTTACGAGGAAAGTACCAAGTAGCCCTCTTGCCTTGTTCAAAATGGAGATTCCCGTAACACCTGGACTTTCATCAAGACCCGTTTCAGCTGTTCGTATGTTACAAACATCATCACGTTCCAGGCTCCCAAACGCAGGAAGGAGGGCATAAATCTGAGGAGAGAAACAACTGCCATGTGACGAGTATCGGCCTAGGAGGCACTGGCATACCTACCATGCCGTCCCTATGCTGACTGAAGACTGTCACAACTCTTCTGAGATCTGTTTAGGCTTTGACTTCTCTGCTGAGGGGATTTAGGCAGGAGTCTGAATCGGAAAAGGAAAGAAAGCTAACTTTAAGGCAGATTACTGTAAGATAACTTTAAGGCAGATTACCGTATGAGGAAGTAAATTCTCACAGGCCTGTGGGCTCACTCTGCTGGCTGCAGGTCATTTGTTAGAAACGGAGGCCAGAGAGGCTGAGGAACTCAAACCACAAAGCTGGTAAACAGCTGTAGAGTTGAGACATGCTGGCCCCTCTCATCCTGATGCTAGGGGCTTTGGGCCTGTTTCCATCCAGATTTCCACCCAGAGAAGGCCCAGGCTAGGACATTGAGAAGTGGTGTGTACAGGGCTGAGGGAGCTCTGCTCCAGAAGCAGCTCATCTCCAGAAAGCTCTGCACAGGTGGTCCCTGGGAGAGAGGTCTCAGAGACAGAAGGGATCATGGTCCCTCAGCCCGGCCACTCTCCAATTGCTCCCTCTTGGACCCCTTGGTCCCTCGGAATCAAGTCACCATACCCTGACGATGCCAGGCCCTCTTCTGTCTCTTTAAGCACATTGGACTGTCCCTTATTTCTTTCCAGTTTGGAGGGTTGCTCTTCATGCTGTAGGATTCAGTTGGGCATGGCAGCCATATGCCATGGCATTTCCTTTGCAGGGGAGGGTATGAGATAGGGCCTTACTATGTAGCTCTGGCTGGCCTTGAACTCAAGGCAACCCCTGCTTCAGCCATCATACCAACTTGTCATGGCTGTTCTTGAACCTTCACAAAGATTATATCACTGTGGCAATATTACCCAAATTCTAGAGTCCAGTTAAATCTGAGCTAAATTCCTAGCTCCTCCAGCTTTGGGTGCCTCATCTGAAGTGAGGACTGTAAAATCTGGCTGTGTGGCATATGCCACTTGAGAAGTGGAAGCATGAAGATTGGAAGTTTGAGGTCAGTATAGGCAAGAAGAGACCTTGTTTCAAAAAATCTAAAATAAAACAAAATATAGAGGGTGTAGCGGTACCTCCCTTACAGGGTTGTCACATGGTTGAGGCAGTGGGGGACAGTACCTAGCACTGCTCAATCAATGTCACCTCCTTGTCTATGGTTTTTTGAAGGAGGCATAGGGCAGAGCCTGGCACACGCACAATGTTCTGTAAATGTTTGCCAAGCGAAAGAGTAAACTGAGGCACTAGCTGAAAATGTCTAGGTGAACAGTGTCAGGGAACAGGCTGAGTATGTTATTTCCAGACATGAGAACCTCCAGGGGCTTCTGTTTGTCTGCTGGTTCAGCTAAAATCACATACCAGGAAATATCAATTAAAGGTGTGGTGTGGGAGCTCAGCAAAGACCTCACCACACTGGGTGGGGCCTTGGTGCTGGGTCTCTGCCATTTTGTGATCTTGGACAAGCTACTATTTTGAAGTGCATTGTGGGGTCTACTACCTAGTCCAGAGGTTGCAATACCTACAGAAGGCTGGATGTAGGGACTTGGCCTTCGGGATGATGGTGAGTAACCTACACAACTGAATGCTTGCTCTGTGTTCAGATAGTCAGATGATAAAAAAAAACAAAAAAAAATGGATGAGCAACCAGCCTCAGCTCCAAGAACTTGTGCACTAGCATGAAGATGAAATTAATTTTGTAGGAGGTGGATAAAATAGTATTGCTGAAGCTCATGGAAAGGAGGGAAAATTTATGTGGGACAGTGTGAGGGAGGGGTAGCATTTGGGCTAGTCCACAGGGGTGGCTGAGATTTAGATCATGTAGATATTGAGGAAAGTACATCCCCATAGGCTAAGGCACCTTGTGCAAGGACACATGCCCGTGGACTGAGTTTGAACCCTGGAACCCGTGTAAAGGTTGAAGGAGGGAACCAGCTCCATGAAGTTGCCCTACTCCACACATGTGCTATGGCATAGGTAGCCAGACACATATATCATACACACATGCACCACACACAATAATGATTATGATGATAATGATAACTCTTTTGAAAAGATTAGGTCTTCCATGCAAAGGCCCAGGAAGCCCGAGTGTTGCTGCATGTGTGGTGGTGAATGGTCAGAGCAGCAGCTGTGGAAAAGCCTCCCCTATTGCTAAAATATTATGCTACACAAAATAGGGATGTCCTAAGATATTTTATTAAGGGAGAAATAACTCAGGTGAGAAGCCAAGAAGGCTGAGAACCAAAGGTCTGCACATACTCTCTGAGCTGCGACCGGAACAGCAACTGGAACCCAAAAGAGAGCGAGTCTCCTCCCCCAAGCTCTTTTATGCCCCTCGTTTATCCGCCCAAATGGGTGTGGCCAGCGCTATGGGTACAGAGATCTCTCCCTACATTTCCCCTTTTAGTCTAAAGAAAAGATTTAGACTTAAAACTGAATTGTCTCAAGCTTACATACATAGAAGATGATACCTATATCCTATCCTAAACATATCTATCCCATCTAAACTCTAAGTTTATATGAAAGAGATGTCTCCCTACCCTCCCTTGCCCAAAACATTTGGAGACAATATTTTTATCTAGTCTTGGCCTACTTTTTCTTAGTAAGGCTTCTGTTGTAGGCTCCCGAGTAAGAAAACCCCAATAGCCAGGCGTGGTGGCTATAACACAGTATTCAGAGGTGGAGCCAGAGGCATCAGAATGTCAAGGTCATTCTCGGCTACATAGTGAGTTCTAGGTCAGCCTGGAATCCATGAGACTCAGCCAGAGAAAAGGAAAAGGAGGAGAAGGAGGACAGAAGAGAAGGCAAGGAGAGAGAAAGAGAGATAATCCAAGTTGTCTGGAGAGTGTGCTGGAGGCAGAAGGTGGCAGCTTACCCTTTGTAGAAGGCTGTGGGGCCCTCCTGCGCCACCATCTTCAGCATGCAGTGTAGAGGGCTGCGGTATCTACCTGGGGGCGCATTCATGTATCTGGTCTTTACCACATCCACCGGAGAGGCCACCACTGTGGCACAAAAGCCGGCTCCAAAGGCAGAGACAAAGTGACAGGGGAAGTTGTCTGCAGAGGGGAGGGAAGAACAAGTTCCAGGAGTAGAGTAGGTGTGCACATTTACAGACACGGTCACTGTCTTCTCCAGTGCAGCCTTGACCTTCTAGAGCACGGTGCCCAAGGCTGAGCTCTTGGTTAGTCTTGGCAAGCTAGAACCCAGCATCTCTGGGTAAGAAAGATTCATAATTTTTTGTCTTGTTTTGTTTTTGGAATTAAAAGTCAGAGAAGGCAAGTGACTGTCCCTTACAGACACACTGAGTTTAGTGTCTGGAACCCAGAGCTCTGGCCTCTAGCCTAGGCCTCTTTCCCCATCACCATCCTGAACTGGGCACTGCTCCTCTCTCCTCTGAGTGGTACCCACTCCTGTCTCCCTACCCGCTCTCACCAGTGAACAGGCGAGAGTCCAGCAGCTTCTCCTTGATGATGTCATAGGTCACCATCTCAGCACAGTTGACAATGGCGTTTCTCGTGATGTTGGGCCAAGTCCCTGTTAGGAAGGCAGTGGGGACTGATGAAGGCAATACTCCAGCTTGGGTCCAGAGCCCCACGGCAGTGTTCTCGGCCAGGGGACCACACCTCAGCCAGGAAGATCCCACTTTCCTTCTGGGGTTATCAGTTTTTAACCTCCCACATCTTCACAAACAGACACCCATTGTGGGGCTACATTTGGAGCATAATTTGCACTCTCAAAATTTCAACGCGCCTCTCTGAGACCCAGGAGCAGTCAGGAAAGGGGATTTTCCGTGGAGAAGGGGGGCTGGGCCCGTGGGATGGTGACGGGATGTATGGCAGGGCCCTAGAAGACAGGTTTCACCCAGGAGAGAGCAGGGTTAGCGTGAGTGGGACACCGGCAAGGGAGTGTGTGCATTGGCAGCATGGTGACTGGGGTATCCTGCCTTTAAACTCCACATGGCCATCTTTCTCCTGCAAGGATTCATTGAATTGTCCAGTTGCAGGAGGCATTCTGGAATTTGCCGAGGGTGAACACGCAGTGAACGCTGCAGTCTTCACTCCCAAGGGAGACCCCTCACTCATCTCACTGCATATGGTGCCACAGCTCCACGCTTCTATTTCTGCTCTGCGTCCTCCGAGGACTCCCCGGCGTCTCCATTGCCTGGCCTTTGAGACCAGGTGCTTTTTGGAGTCAGCTCAGCCACTCCTACCTCTGGCCTGCGTCCTAGCCCCTTCCTGGGATATAAGCTGCACCTCGGCCTCCTTGGCTCCTTTGAGGTAAACCCTTGAGGAGTGGACACCCTGTGTTCATTCCTGTCTCTCTCAGGGTGGCTACACAGCTGAGGACTGGTAAGGGGAACAGGGTCTGAGGTCCTGTGGCAGGTGTGTGGGGTAGTGTATTTGCGTGTTCTTCAGGAAAACAATGCTTTGGGAGTTTCTCCTTTCTGGGCTCCCTACCTCAGCCCTCAGGGAAGGAAAGCTCTGCCCAAGGGTACCACGTTTACCTTTCCACAGGCCCCCGATTCCTTCCTCCCTGGCGATGGTTCTGTAGGCATCCATCGTCCCTTTGTATTTCCTCTCGCCTCCGGTTCCCAGGCGTATCATGGCTTGAAACCGGACCTTCACCACATCCGTGGGCTGGGCACAGGTCACTGCCATGGCTCCCGTGGTACAGCCTGCCAGAATCCTGATGGCGACGCTGGAGTCTGGGGAGAACAGAGAGAACTGGGCGGGAGTCCTTAACATTGTCAAAATCTCACCAGAGGCTGTCACCAGCTTCCCCACACTCGACTATCCTTGATGGATTTCTTGTCCTTACCCACACACCAGCTATTGGCTGAGATTTCTGCTCACCCCTGGGGTCCATGGGTATCCCCACTGGTGTTGGCACTCACGGTCTGCTCCTTTGGGGGTGTAGAACTGTTTGACAGAGTCGTAGAGGCCAATTCGAATGGAGGCAAAGCTCATCTGGCGGTGCAGGCCGGCCACCAGCCCGCTGTAGGGGCTGCGGGGACCCTCGGTGCGCACCATGGTCAGGATGGTACCCAGCACGCCGCGGTACTGCACGCTCTGCGCTCCTGGATTCTCCCCCTGGATCTGCCGGACAAGAGTAGGGCCTGAGGAGCCCATGGGTGGCCGGGGAAGGAAGGGCAGTGTGTGCGGGGAGGAGGGGAGCCCTGTAGTGTCTTCGAATTAGCATGATAATAACACCAGGGTGAAAACCACTGAGTGTGCAGCTTGGTGCAATTCACAAAGCAGCTCTCACTCGATGAGGCTCCTGGGCGCACCAGAGGGGCCGGTTTGCTTTCCCAGCTTTATACTAGTGGCTTACCCATTGCTGCCTTACCTTTATTTTCCACTCTATGGTTTACAAAGCAGGTGTAAGCTGTAAAGAGTCCTGCCACATCATATCAAGGCGCTTGGATTGTTTTGGTCTCGAGAGATGGTGGTGAGGACCGAGGTAGTGTAGGGAGTGGCCTTCTCCCCCCACTCCCGTCTGTGTGAGGAAGTTGGCCCATGGGCTGAGGTACACCGAAGCAGCCCCTCCTTTCTCATTAATCACAACCGCTGGCCAAAGGCACCCACCTGCAGGCGGACCTTGGCGGTGTCCAGGGGGAAGGTGAGCAGGTCTGCAAAACAGGCTGCAGCGCCGGCCCCCAAGAACTTCACAACTGTTGTGGGAGGCACTTCTGGTGGCTGAAGTCCGACCATGGTCCCGGGCAGATGGGCCTGGTTCCTCTGCTGCCTATTAGGTCCAAGGAGCGAGGTTGCCTGGCGGTCCTTTACTTCAGTTCCGGGAGGCAGCTGCCGGAGATAGGCCAGCGAACACATAGAGCCTGGGTTTCTGACTCTGCCCTGTTTCCAGGGACCCCCGCAACGCTCTGAAGGGGCTTTACAAAGTGAGAAGCCCGGGTACTGCCACACTTAAGCTGCCTGAACTTGGCCTGCAAAAATCCTGCTAACAATCCCTGTCACCTGCTCAGAGGGACAGGGCCATTGGTATCGTCACTGAATAACTGAATGGCCGAGGAAACCGCGGTCCTAGCAGGCAGCAGGCCTGGCTCTGACCCCACAGGTACCACGTTCTCCCAGTGTCTCGCTGCTTCCTCACTGGTCAAGCTCTCTGAGGCGCCTCATGTTTCTTTCCCAAACAGGGGGAACTCAAGGAGTTACTCGTTCATCTTGTATTAAGTCTGTTCCTCTTGAAAGTACGCCTTAGCCCCCTGCACCCTTAATGGGCATTGAACTTAGGGCCTAGTGTAAGGCAAATCCTCTACCAATGAGATACATCCCTAGCATTCTCTTATTGTTTTTTTGTTTAAAATTTTTATTTACATTTTATGTATGAGTGCTCTGCATGTATACCTGCAGGCCAGAAGAGGGCACCAGATCTCATTACAGATGGTTGTGAGCAACCATGTGGTTGGTGGGAATTGAACTCAGGTCCTCTTAACCACTGAGCCACCTCTCTAGTCCTTATTTGTATTTATTTATTTGTTTGCTTGTTTGAGACAAAAGTTTCACTAAATTTCCCAGGCCGGTATTGAACCTGAGACCATCCAGCTTCAGGCTTTCGAATGCTGGGATTGTGTGCGTGTACTGCCATGCTTGGTCTGGATACCTCTCTCTGTATAAAAGAAACAGAATCCCCCTCAGTTCTTGTTGCTTCCATCTCTAGGATTTCCTGACTGGTGGTCTTTGGTGGAACTGGGCCTCAGGTACTTGCTGCTGAGCCCTCTATTTCCCAACGGCTGAGGCAGTGGTCTGCCACATGAACACTTCCGTCGTCTGGAGTGGTTATGGCTACTCTGCCTGGCTAGGATCATGCACCCTCTCATGTCACCGTGGAGACCCTTCTCAGATGGAGACAAAATCTCAGAGAGAATCTCAGTCTCAGGGCAAGACAATGCATGTGTGCACATGCAGACAGCACACACACACACACACACACACACACACACACACACACACACACGAGATGTGTGCTCATGTGTGCACCTATCTTTCTGCTGGTTACCAGGGATCTTTTGATGTGAATGGCTTGGTGTAGCTTCAGATGTTCAGGGAAGCTGGTGCACCATCATGGGTGGCCCCATGTTCTTACCACTGGGTTTCTGCGCATCAGGCCTTCTATGTTAAGCCATCTCTTGGTGTCCCTGGTGCACTAACTCAGACACTCTCTTGTGCTGAAGTTCTGCACCCTTTAATAACCCAGTCCCAGAGCCAGGGCCAGTTTCATAGAATTGTGAACTGTATAAGCCTTCCATACAGGGCAACAGGATTCTGGGCTGGTGGTTAGGAAATCTGGGCTCTGGTCCTGTCTTCTGAGCCTTACCTTAGGTACATTTACCCTGTCTTGGGACAAGGGAATATGTACATACACACATATATTTATTCATCAATAGTGAACATTTAGGTATCAAAGGGTAGGAGCCAGGTCAGATGACTTCTCAAGTCTTCTCATGCCTGCCATATAAACCCTGGTTTTCTCTGTTATGCCTTTTCCATCTACACATTCAGAAACCAAGGACTCAGGCTTGCTGTCACCTCTCCCTGGAAAATCCTGTGATTGGGAAGGAGTTGGTTGATGGTGGAAGTCCTTCTGTGTATATGTGTCTCTTACTGGTTGATGAATGAAACTCTATGGCCAATAGAGGCAGAGAGATAGGAAGGACTAGGAGATGTGAATTCTGGGAAGTGTAGGCAGACAGCAGTCTCCATGTGAGACTGGGAAGGTAGGATGTGCGGGATGCTTCTCCAGTAAGAGAAGACTACGTGGAAATACTTGAGAGTAATAGAAATAGCCGGGCGTTGGTGGCACACGCCTTTAATCCCAGCACTCAGGAGGCAGAGGTGGGCAGATCTCTGTGAGTTTGAGGCCAGCCTGGTCTACTCTGCCTCCCAGGAGCTGGGATTAAAGGCGTGCACCACCACTGCCCAACTCCATGCTTCTTTCTTTCTCCCCTTTCTCCTCTTCTTTTGGTAGGGCCTCTTGTAGGCCAGGATGGCTTCAAATTCTTTGTACAGCCAATGATGACCTAGAACTTCTGCTTTTCCTGCCACTTACTCCCCAAGTGCTGGAGTTATAGTCCTGCATCACTATACTCAGTTCATGAGATGCTGAAGATCAAACCCAGGGCTTCTGTATGGCAAATAAGCATCTACAGTTGAGCTACATCCCTGGTCCTGGTTGTTTGCATCCTAAGGACCACTAAACTCTAGATGGAGTTATACAGTGACTCAGGAATGTTGGATCTAAACAGTAGAGGCAGCAGGTTTCCCCGTTGCAGACCCACATCCAAACTCTTATCTGTCAGAGACTATGGCGCTCCTGGTTGTGGACAGTCCACTGGCTCTGTGTTTTATCAAGTGCACAGCCTAACGTCTTGGGCATGGCCTACATGGCTCTTTGTGAGGGCCCCCCTCTCCCCGCTTTCCTCCCCACTCACCCACTGAGCTTCAGCCACACGGGAGCTCTTGAGCTACAGCATCTGTGTGGAATACAGTTCTCTCAGACACTTTAGCTCGGCTCTTTGCTTCCTTCACGTTCTCCCCTGATGTCACCCCTTAGAGCGCCTTCCCTGAACTCAAAGGCTAGCTCAGCGTCGCTCTCATAACCATGGCACCAGGCACCCCTCCACCTTGTCTACTGCTGCGCTTTCCCACTCGGATGCCGTCTCCAAGAACACGGACCTCACCCGTCCAGGAGCACTGTGTTTGTTGAGAAAACAGATGGCAACGTTTTTGGAAGATCCTCTCTCATCTGCCCAATTCCATCCTCGCATCATGCCAGGGACTCAGCTGGCAAAGGCCAGCGTGCACGGACGGGACCCACCCACAGGGCTCCGTGCTTGGCTTCCTGGAGTGAAAACCCACGCGTGTGAGCTGCTCGTGGAGGGTCTTCAGCAGACTTTAAGGCTGGTTTAGACAGTGCCCACAAATAACTGTAGAGCAAGCTGAACCTTGGTCAGTATAGACGGGGAAGAGCTGTCAGGAAGGGACTCAGGGGAGGAAGACCCTCCTTTTGCTGTCAGGAGGGGACTCAGGGGCAGAAGAGGACTAATGCTGGCCAGGCCTAAAAAGGGCTATTGGCAGCTGCAACAATGAGAAGGATTTCCCAGGGGAGGCAGAGGCCTGAACCTGTATGCTAGTGGTTCCCAGCCTTCCTAACGCTGTGACTCTTTAATACAGTTCCTCATGTGGGGTGACCCCAACCATAAAATTATTTTGTTGCTACTTCTAACTGCAATTTTACTACTGTTACGAATCATAATATAAATATCTGGCATCAGACTGCACGGCGTAGTCAGTCCCTGTGTCCAAGCCTGTGTTTAGCCTATTTTAGGTTCAAAATCACTTTGGAAAAAGCAGGGCAGTATTTAAGTTCGGTTTACAGATGAGAAAACAGAGGCTTAAGATGGGAAGAAGTTGACTGACTACTGGTCACAGAACTCCAATCTAATTGTTCCGGTGGCCAAGCCACAACGCTGCCATCACTACACCACCATGGTCGAGTCAGTGTGGGAATCTGGCTGCTCACGGTTTTGTCTTTGGTTGAGCATTCAGAGCAGGTGCTGAGTGCTTCACAAAACCAAATGTAGGAGTCTGGAAAACCCTGAGTGAATACCAAGTCCCCCTAATCAGATCAAATTTATGGGCCCAGGGAAGCTAAAATCTGTGTGGGTGGGTGAAGTCAGACCTTGGCTCTCCAGGCTCTTCCTTCAGCCCATCTTTATGTCTGTCCGAGTTCTAAGCTGAGACAAGTCCAAGGAGGGGACAGGTTCTTTGGGAAATGAAGCCTGAGGCCTACGGCCCTTGGAGCCAACTTGGCTGGGGACCAGCAGTGCCGGCGTGTTAAGAAAACACCCTCCACTTGTTCAGGCCTCAGTCCCCTTTGCCCTACAGAAGGGCAGCCAGGCCTGGCTCCTTCCCAGCAGGGAGGTACTGGATTCCCTGCCCAGGCTTGGAATGCACTGTGGGAGCAGCTGACTCTCCTCATGGCATCTTGGTGGTTTCTTCCTCCCACCTTGGATTTGCCTGGAGAGCTAGGCTGCTGGGTGATTTGATATCATGAATCCGAGGCTCACACAGAGTTGGGGAGGCCCCTGGGTTAAGGTCTTTAGTGTCCTGTCTTCAAAACCTGTCGGGGGAATACTCAGGCGCCAGTAGAAGAACCCTGTGCTCCACTCTACTTTGGAGAGAAGCACTGAGGTAAGCCAGGCAAAGAACCCATGCATGGCCATTGTCAGAGACCTGTGACTCTAGAGCACTTTCCCGCTGGAGGGACATCAGGTGGCATTAGTGCTGAGCTGGGTCCTGCAGAGACCACTTAATGGAGTTTTCTCCCTGCTGAGGCCAGAGACACACTCTGGAGTTTTTGCTTCCTTGTCAAGAAGGGCTTCCCTTCTCAAGCCACGTTGTCCTCTGCTACTTCTGACCCTGCTGTCTTGTAGCACTACCTTTTTATCTGTAACTCTTTTCTCCATCGGAGCCAAAGCAGGGAAAAGACCAATTTACCCTCCTTCCTTCTCTTTGCAGACCACTGTGGGGAGGCTGCCAGGCAGCTCAAGAACCATTCTTACCAAAATGAGGAGGCAGGAAACAAGGCCAGACATGACCTTAGGGCCCTTTGGGCTGCAAATGGCAGAGACAGACTTAGTCTAGCGGAGGAGGAGGAGGGGCTGGGCGGTCAGAGCACGTTGGTGCAGGCATCAAGGATAGATTGGAATGGGGTGTCGGGGGCTCTAAGACCATGTTGTTGGAAAGGTGCTCACTAAAACCTGAGCTTGGTCAAGAGCTTGCCATCGGAGGTACCCAATTTTAGGGGTAGCCCTAATCCATTCATCAGAAATAGAAAGGATGGGCAGACACGCCTGAGGATTCGGGCAAGGCTACACAGGCAGACACAGTAGGAACCTCGCTGAGGTCTAGGATCCCCCACCTCCTCCTGGCTGCACCTCACTGTTACTTGAGGAAGCCTGGCGGGCGGCAGGCCTTTGCAACCAGTTGCAGGTGCAGGCTGTGAGCAATCCTCATCCTAGTAGTTCTGCGAAGCATGGGATGTGCTAGTCTACAGGGCTCACTCATGTCTGCTGAGTGTGTCCTGCGCTCAGTACAACCCAACTCTCCAATAAAGCATCTGCACCTGCACCGAGGAAGCCAGCAGGCAGAGTGACTGCAGGCTCTAGAAATGTCTACCACACACCTGGACCAGGCATCAGGCCAGAGGTGCCCTCTTCATCTCTACCTAGGAAGGGCCCCAGGACCTTTAGCCGGAGAGGGCTTTGTGCTCTGGAGGGACCCTGGGCCAAAGGAGAGGGACACTTGCTATCTGTTATCTGTAAAATTCTAAGAGGGGAGCCAACAGGACAAAGGGGCATCCTGGGAAGTCTTGCAGATGTGGGAGCCTCCCTAAGGTTCCTTCATTTTGACCAGGTGGGGGCTAGACTGAATTACTGTCAGTCTCAGCCAGTGAGGGATCCCTGGCAGCTCCTGGCTGTGAATCTCCATAGAAGGGAGAGCAGATAGAGGGGTAGGGGGAGCTGAGGAGAGGTATGGGGTCTTACCTGTGAGTCTAGCCAAGGTACAGTAGTGCAGGTGCTCCCTGGGGCTCCATTCCAGGGGTGGCAGCAGGATCCGATGGCCCCTCACCATTCACTGTTGTCTCTGCTGCCTCTGGCTCGCACTAACCTTATGCACCAGCTGACCTGAAACCTAATTCTGAGGAGCTAGTTGACAGCCCGATCACTTGACAAGAGGCGGGCTGCTGAGGGGCAGGGCAGGGAGGGGACCAGTGAGTTCCAGTTTAGATTCCTTGACTGGGGTTCTTTAATACGGCTCCTTTAGGCTTTCAAGAGGAGGGCTATCTTGGTGACCAGAGGATATGTGGTGTGTGTGTGTGTGTGTGTGTGTGTGTGTGTGTGTGTGTGTGTGTGTGTGTGTGTCTCTCTGGGATCTCTTCTGGCCAACAGCAATGATGATGAGTCTCATTTCTTGGTGCCCATTAGGTGCTTGATGTTTTAGACACATTATTTCTATTCCCCATACCCCAAGGAAGCAAGCACCAGGCTCCTAAATTTAAAAACAAAGCAACACAGTCTTAGAATGTACTGTACATAGCATGTGATTTGCACACTGAGAACACACAATTCAAAAACTTTATAGAACAGTCAGGTTGAGCAACTACTACAATCTAGTTCAGAACATTTTCATTACAGCTCAAAAACAACAAAAACAGAAACAAAACGAGTTTCCCCTTTTCCCTTCCCGCAGCTTCAAGCAGCCACTTATCTTTCTGCTTCTCCCTTTGCTTGCTCTAGATGTTTCGTTTGAGTAGGGTCAGAGTGTATGGCTTCCTTCACTGGCACAGTGCTGTTACATGCTCTAGTGTGCATCAGTATTTCACTCCTTTACTGTGTGGAACCCTCATGTGTCAATGCTTACTTTACACAGAAAACTGAACCTCAACGACAGTGACTTCCCAAGGTCACACAGCTAGTACACTGCAGAGCCCAACCTTGCCTGTAACCTATAAACACAGTGGGTCTATCTGCTCCAACCACTATTCTCCACGACACGTCATTGGAGGCTTTAGCATGGACATGTTGGGGCCAGAATGAGATGGGGTGGGGTGAGCAGAATCCTTTGTAGCAACCACTGTAAACTCCATCTGCAGGCACTGAGGTTAGGGATTGGGCATAGCTGAACCTCGGAGCCAGGTGACACAGAAGGGAGACAGAAAGGGGAGAGCAGATAGGTAGGGCAAAGAAGGCAGAGGCCGTTCTGAAACCTGAGCACAGAGCCTGGTCCCAGGATGGGTGGTGTGACTGGAGTGCTTATCCTCTTTCTTGGTCCATGTCCTGCCCTTATCCTTTCAGGCTCCGTTGGGAACTATTAATCTGGAGCTGGGTAGGACTGGGAGCCATGTGGGGGAGGGACTACAAGGAGTCAGACTGGAGGCAGCATGGGGAGGAGAGCTCAGCTGATTCTGGCCTCAGCTTCCTGAGGGTGGCTCTGCTTGGGGTTCTAGCTAGAGTCAGGCCTCTCTGCTAGAAGTTCTAAGGGTGGCTGCTACAATCCCTGGCTCACCAAAAACACCTGTTTCAGGCGTCTGGGGAGGGCTTGCATACATGGAAGTCAGGGAGACACTGGTTCCTTCTGGTGATAAACATGCTGTATAACTTGAGTCACATCACCTCAGAGCTGTCACCAGAGCAGGACATTGGTAAGTAACACAGTGTTCACCATGTCTTTGTCATCCGAGGCTGCCTGCAACCTGGGGTAAGAGCGGCCCATGTCCTCCTGTGGCCCTGTCCTCACTTGACCCACCAGGTTATTTACAGGAGCAGCATTTGGCAGTGAGCGGTCTTCACCTGAGGCTCTACCCCTAAGGCCTGGAACCTGAAGGTTTCCTATTCCCTAAGGGCTGTGGAACTCCAGGTACTGGAAGCTCTATCCTGTCTGAGCGTGAGGCCTGGGGCTGAGGGCAGACTTGGCTGGGGAGGGGGCATGTTTGCTTCCGTGAGACTCAAGGAGCAGAAATAAATATGAAGGCAGGTTGGGCTGAGGGTCCATGGCCCGTAAAGGGAGGCTGACATTTCCTAAGCTTCCATTATGTGCCAAATGCCAGCCAAGTATTTTCAGAAATGTTGCATTTGATCTTCACAGCAACCCTATGAGACCAGGGTCTACAGGTGTCTGTCTTTCAGATGAGGCTAGAGGCACAGACACCACCAGGCTGGACTCTGTTACGGCCCAGAACACCCTTCTGGTTCTTTTGGCAGCTGTCTGCGGCCTTCTCCATTCTCTAGGTTTACCCCAGTACTGGTTTCTTTCAGGAATCCTTCCCTGGATGCAGCAGCCTGGGACTGCCCCTTTCCAGAGCTCCTACTGGCTGCACCCTGCTTTGGTCATGGAGTCCCTTATCTCTGGGCATGTCTTGTATCTGGATGCGCTTTCTAGCTATACAGAGGCAAAGCACTGACTTCCTTGACCTTGCGTTTAACTGTAGGAGGGGCATCACAGTATCAGAGATGTGAAATGAGAAATGATAAGTAAGGTTCACACTTTCACTGTGCTGACAGACTTCAAGGACCGTCAGAGGAAAAGACAAAATCAAGAATGAATAAGCAAAACCCAAAACAACCAAAAGAGGGGACACTGGTGTCCCTCCAATGTGGGCCAATCTGACACTTTGAAGAACTCACAAGTCTCATAGTGACTCTAGTCCCTTGTTTCAGATGTCTGAGGGTTTTCAACCTTTGTCTTTGCCACTAAGACTACAAATGAATTTCAACACCTTTTCCAGTGACCAACCCAGAAAATAGTTGTGCACAAATAAAAAACCAGACTTTTATTAAAGCAAAGGCAAGAACAATGAATTTCAGATCTGAGTAAAAAACAAACATTAAGTTAAAAACATGGTTAGGTTTCAGACAATCAATTACAGTTTAAAGGAGGTGATTCCCCCGTTCTATTGATTAATTCAATAAATCATAAAAATAATTTATATCTATAAAACACCCTCATTCCCAAACAAAGGACCTGGACAGGGCCCTGGGATTTTCTTAGTTCTGCATACGCTTATGGCCCGCTTCAATATTTAGGCAAGAACAGCCTGTCCTGTTCAAGCAGAGGGTGGCTCTGGTCAGCAGGAGGCTGTGCCAAGGACACTGGTTTCTCTGTCAGAGATGCCTCCTTAGGCCCCATGGTCAGAAGGTAGATGCCTGGGCCACGTGGGTGCCGGAGTCCATTTTATTTCCAGCTGTTGCCTCATTACAGAAGGAAGCAAGGCAGGAGCTGGTGGTGCGGACACCCTAGTTTAGTCTTAGCTGAGTAGGTCTAGACAGCCATGGGACAGGGTGGTGGTAGTGGCCTCAGGATGCCGAGGGAGAGAGATATGGTGCCTCCTGCAAGCTGTATAATGCTGAGGGTGGCTGATTCAGTCCCTCAGGCTTCATCAGGCTTCTGGGAATAGTGGGAAGAAAATATCCGTGCAATCCTGCGAGTCTCTTCCTCAGGGAAATTGGGAGGGAGGGAGTAAGGTCTGGAGCGACAAGGCCTCTGGGCGAGAGCTCCCTTGGTGGTTTCACTCTTGTCCTGCAGAGAAAGACATCAGCTAGATTAGCATTGCCAGCTGCTGAGTTTGGCCCCTCATGCTCTGTCCTTGGGCTAACATTGCTGCAGAGGTGCCTGGTCTGCAAACCACCCCACACACCTTGTCCAGTTGAACCCTTGCTACAACATCACAAGGTAGAGACAACTTTCTCCCCACAGTTCAGGTGCAGTTAGTTCAAGGTCATGCAGCTCTTGAGCATAGACTAAGTCACGTGCTCAGATTTGTATAGTAAAGCCACCCTGGGCAAGTCGGCTGAGAGGAAGGTGCCTAGGGAAGACATGGAGGTCAGGTAGCGGAGAGGCAGTGCTGAACGGAGATGGAGGTTGTCACCATGGGCACATGTACTTGGCTTTACAGCACACAGTCTGTCCTATGGGATGATTTTTTTCCTGTCCCCAAATCCACAAGCTTTTCTACACGCTGAGACCATCACACAGCCCCACCTCCCCAGACACCTCCGGGACAACAGCGTGGTGCAGAGCTTGGAGACTGGGGCTACTTTGAATCCTGTAAGCCTGCTGCCAGGAGACAGGTGTACTAGAGAGACTTCAGGATGAGTACACTCAGAAATCCTGTCTTTTCTTTCTAACGCCACACATGTCAAACGGAGGCAGAGATGAACAGAACAGTTTCTGCTTCATAGCACAGAGTTAAACAGGTGGGAGAGACACTACGATCTACCCGAAGCATGAGAACAGCAGCCAGAGAAAGGTAAGAGGAATGGAGTTGGGTATCTTCTCTACTGCTTGGGTGATAGTTTCCCAGCCATGAACAAGGGGACTGGGCAAATAATCAGGACAGTCCCTGCCAGTCCAGAATGCTAAGCACTGAGAGAAGGTTAACAAGCAAGTCCTCAGGCTGTGCTGCTCTGCAGAGCCTGGAAAGCACAGCTCTGTTCTGGGCAGGTCTAGGCTAACAGGGAGGCCATCATTTGTTGGTTTGCAGTCCTTCCTTCCTTCCTTCCTTCCTTCCTTCCTTCCTTCCTTCCTTCCTTCCTTCCTTCCTTCCTTCCTTCCTTCCTTCCAAAATAACACCTCAGGCCAGGGAAGGGCCCAGGGCCAGTGTCTCCATGTAGCTCTCTGCTCCAGACTGGGCACTTCTGAGGCAGAGAACTAGAGGCTTCAACACATGTAACTCCAGGCAGGCCAGTTCAAGATGAGGTCCTGGATTGTGAGACCAGTGAATGGGTAGAATTAGGCCATGATGACCCAGTTTAGACCAGGTAGGGAGGAGACTGCCTCTTGTAGTAAATGCTTTATTCATTCTTTCCAAACCAATGGCTGCTGGAGTACTGTGTATACATCCTTTGGGTTCTCTGCAAGACTTTCAAGCTTCTCTCTGCCCCCTCCCAAGATCCTGGGGTATTTGGTGTTTAATGGGATCCGAGTCCCATTCAATCCTCTGGCTGTAGCTATAGATGGGTCTTCTGGGTCACTAGCTACAGCTTATACTACATTTTCTTTCATGCCCTGCTACAGTGAAAGGGAACTGAGTGGTTAAGTCAGACGGAAAATGGTGAGTTGGGGTCTTATGATGTACTTCTGACTGCAGGGATTGGTCTCTGATCCTTTGTCAGACAATCCTAAACCAGATCTTTGTTAGAAGTTCATT